GAGGCTCCACACTGCCCACTCAGCTGCCTGGGGCATGTATAGGTACCTGCCACTTAATCTGTGTTTAAGAACCTGTGAGCAGATGGACTAACATCATCTGAGCTGGTGTGTAATTGCCTACATAATGATCAGAGAAATACGGAAAGGGACACAAAGGCAAAAGGCAACTTAGGACTTCAAGTAACAGTCCAGTCTCCCAAGGTCTTAGATTTAAGGCTGCAGAGTAGAAAATAGAGTTTTGTATGTTTTCAGTGACACGCAGAACTTCTAGCACCTTTCATGGAACATTGGGACTGCATAACTGATGTCTAGGATTGATTTTAACCTCGTCACCGAATTTCTCTAGGCCTCCTCAGCCTGAGTGCAAATGAAGCCCTGTCATGATAATTCCCTAGGGGTGTTGTCTTGTCCTCCCTGATAAACTGCAAGATCAAGTATCTGGCCAGAGGTGGGGGAAGGGTCTCTGTCGGATGCCCCAGATCTGCTCACGAACAAGCCTGTGGCCTTGCTAGCATCTTGCCAGCTCCCCTGTGGGCAGCTCTCCGCTGAGGCTGCCATGACTCCACTGGTATTTTGTTTCCAGGGATCTCTGCTAACTGTCCAGGATTAGAGTGACTCCAGGATGAAAGGGTTGGTTTTCCACTTCGGGAGAATGCCTTCTCTCTGTAGGTAAGAGCAGGCATGTGGGTGTTCCAGGCCTTGCATTTAGGTCAGAGGAGCTGGAAAGATCTCCTGGAGTTTCCACACTGCCCTGTCCCCTGTTCAATGAGGGTATTCTCTTAGGAGAAAACCAAATTACACTGCCACTTTGCCATTTAGAAAACTGCGTCTGCTCATTTATTTTGCTTGGTGCATATCTTAGACAGTCATTTCCACAGCGGTTTGTAACCTTCAACTTGTCCCTGTTCCCTCTTTAGCTTTAAAATGCCACACAACCCCCCTACTGAGATTGAAAAGAAACTCCCTTTCACTATGATTTCAAGGAGAACTTGTAGAGTATTAGGATAATTGAAAAAAAAATCGATATTATAATATCAAGATACAGGTTTACAGATGCCTTGGGGATGTCAGACCAACAACAATTACATTGACTTTGGGTCTTGTTTTGATGTTTGCACAGTTTCCGTGGCTTCCAGAGCCTTGCAGTTTCTGTGCCCTGGGCAGTCATGTAAAGGCTCTTTGTTGAGAACCTAGATTCCGACTTGCCATTAACCTGAATACACCCTGCTCACCTCAACCAAGTGTGAAACTAGAGGAGTCTCAGAAAGGAGCTATTCAGCTGGAATTGTATTTTTTATATGAAAGTCTCAGCTGCCAAGCCGAGTATAGTATTTGCTTACTTGGGCAGCTTATTGCCTGTGGGCCCAGTTAGTATAAGAGGAATGGCAGGGATAAAGTTAAGCTCAGTATTTTTCAATTACGGAAGATTACAAAAAAAAGAAAAAAAGCAAAGCCTTCATTGAAATTGCAATCTTTCAATCTTATTTGTTTGCCATGTAGATGGTTATTTAAAGAGTACTTTTCTCTTCAATTACATCTTCGTTCTAAGAGTAGAGGTGGATCCCAGAGGCAGCAGTTCGGCCTCCCTGATGATCTGAGCAGTTTTCAATGGCTAATGGCCTATAAACAAGTAATATCTTGTAGCTATTGTGGCCAAGAGACGTGAAAAGGAGTCTTTGACAGTTATAGGTTTTCTTGGATAAAATTTCTAAGCAAAACGGAGGGAGATTGCAGAACTGGAAGACTATTACCCAGCCTGCATTTGGTTTTCCAAACTCAGGAACTCGTGGGCATCCATTTGTCAGCATTCAAGACAAGCCAGGAACCTCAAAAGTTTACTAACTGTAAGGTGATCGGACAGAACGATGTGAATGCTCCTCCCCAGCCCGCTGTGTCAGTTTGGGGTTCTGGGTGGCCCTGCTGAAGGAGACCTCATCGAGAGGTCAGTCTTTAACGTGTGGACAGCGTCACTCACTTCCCACTCTGCAGAGCTGTTCAACAATTTCCAGATGGAGCTCATTCTAGAGGAGAGGAGAGTGAAAGGGCCACCTGATTTTCCAGTCCTGCTCTTGTTCTCCCCCTCCTTTCTGAGACTCTGCTGTCTCCTTGACCTTGGAGTTCATGAGTTCTTCCATTTTCCTTCACCAAATCCCCCCTTTGCTTGAGCTACTGTGAGTTGAGTTTCTGTTACTTGTACCTGAGAGAACTTGAACCAACACAGCCCCCTGGCTCTGACCTGGCCCCTGCCTCTCCCTCCAGCCCTTTTCCTGACACCCCTGCCTCAGCCTCAAGTTTCATGTGTCACTCTGTATTTCACACTGTTCCAAGCCTCCTTGCCTCCCTCAGCATCTCAGGCAGGGACCAGGTCTTATTTATCTTTGTATCCCAGTGGCTGTCACAATATCTGACACATAATAGGTGCTTAAAACACATTTACTGAATGAAAGGAAGGTAAACAGAAAGTGGGATTTCCATTTCTGTGAGAAACATCAAGAGTGTAAGGTGAGGAATAGTTTCTCTGTGAGTAGATACCCTAGAAAGGCAGTGATTGTAACAGACAGCAATGAACCTAAGAAGGGTTCAAAAGAGTGCTGAGCCTGCATGGAAGTAGATCCTCTCTCTTGCCACCATATCCCATTTCTTTCTGAAAAATCTCTGCCTCCTGTTCTACCAAGGTTATTGTATTAGGGCTTAGAACTCTCAGGCAACTTAGATTCAGAGTTCTCATCCCCTGTATTCCATGTCCTTGATGAAGTATGTGTGAATTGTGTCCCCTAAGGAAAAGGGACAAGGAGGTCACTGGAAAATAGGTGGGTCGGGACTGTATGTCCAGAGAGCCCAAGTCTACCTGGGCAAGTCAGGGAAGGCTCCAAAGAGGAGACGGCATTTGGACTGAGACTTGAAGGATGGTTAGGAGTTTATCAAAGGATGAGGAGCCCAGTGTGTTCAGGGAGCTACAGGTGCTATGGACTGTAGATTATAATCACCCAGCTTAAATGAAAGCAGGTGGCTATCCAGAGAAGCAGGAGGAGTGATGGGGGGAAGTACAGTTTGCACTGGATGTTTAACAGCCTCCTCACTTTGTACATTTAAGAGATCCTGAGCACACACGTGGCAGAATCATACGTAAATTTTACATTGTCAAGCTTCCTAGAGAACCCCCCACGCAGCAACTTGGGTTTAATTTCCAAGTCTGCCTCTCCCAGCCTTATGACCTTGGGCAAGTTACTTGACATCTTCATACTTCAGCTACATGATCTGTAAAGTGAGAATGATAATAGTACTTCTTGCCATGAATCATAGGGATGGGTGACTTAATACACCTGAAGTCCTTAGAACAGTGCCCGGCATGCAGCAAACACTAATTATTAAATACTTCACGATTTCTCTTGTGAGGTTGTTTGCAATCACCAGTCATGCACTTTGTGCATAATCCCATGATAGTAATTTTACCGTTTTAATTGTTCATTTGTGTGGGATTTCTCACTGGACTGTGAATTCTTCAAAGCCATTAGTTGAATAAATATTTCTTTCTAAAGTAATTGAATTCATTTCAAGCATATTTCCTACTTACTACATTTACATATCGGTAACCCAAGGGGAGAACTTTTAGGATTGTGACTGAAAAGTAACATTATTTTCTGAAAATTCCTCTTTTAGGCTGTAAAATCCTTGACCACAGAAACATCATCTTCTTTATAAAACCATGCTGGTCCTCCTGAGATTATGCTGGGAAACTTGCTTCATTGAGGTTTTGTCCTGATCAAAGGGATTAAAGAGCCCAGAGAAACAAAAAATATCTGAACCCTGTCAGTTTGTTTGAAAATTTTTAGCAAAGCCTTGTTGCAAAATGTATGACCAAGAAACCTCAAAGACCCTTAACTCCCAAGAGGTGGGCCAGCTGAGTGGAGTTTAGACATCACTACATCCAGAGAGGCTGGCCGGACACTTCCACTTGTTTTGGTTGATTTAGAGGAGAAAGGGCACAGAAGTTCTCTGCTGAGACCTCGGAATGAATGATCGAATTGACTTAGGAGATTGGCTCATATCTGCAGGACCCAGAGCTCTCCACAAGGCTGGACCAGAGGCCCCAAGTGTGCAGAAGCAGGTGTGTTTGTGGGATGGGCATGGGAGAGGGGGTGGGGTTTTGAGCCCCCAAAAGTCTGTCAAGTGAATCAGGAATTTGGACGAATTCTGAATTCTGGTTCTGTCCTTTCGTATCTGCACAATCCTCTTAATGCCTACGTTTCCTTTTTTTTTTTTTTTTTGTCATTGAAGGGTTTGATGTAGATTGTCTCCAAATTTCTATTTCTGGTGTTCTGATATCAGTGCTGGCCCAGTGGTGTCAGGCACAGTTTAGGTTGAGTAAAGCAGCTTTTATATGCAAGACTCCCATGGCACCCATCACCACCAGGACGCTTGTCTCCACCTGAGCTGTGCGAACCCAGACCTGACCCAGCCCCAACCACACCGCAGCCTCCCCGCTCCTCTTGGCTGCCCAGAGGCCCCCAGCCCTTCTTGCCTGCTCTTACCTGAAGCCTGGTTCTCTTCCTCCACCTCCTGAGACAGGGCTGCTCGTCTCTCTCACTGCACGTCTCAGGCCTGGAGTCAGGACAGGTCTGCTCCCAGCCCCCTCGAGCCTGGCCTTGGCCCTCCTGCCTTGTCACTGCGGTCCTCTCCCAACCTCCTGGGCTCCTCTGATCCCCCTGGGCACCGTGAGCTTGGCTCACTGCGTCTCTCTCCATCCTGACACCATCACCATCTCTCGAGACTTGAACATCCACATGGGCAATTCTAACAACCCTGTGACCTCTGAGGGCCTCAACAACCTCACTCCTGGTGGTCCAGAAGTGAGCATATACTCAAGTAGGTGACAACATATCAACAATGGACATGTCTGAAAAGGTTTCATTTATCTTCAAAATTATGATACCTATAGCTAGGGTGATCATATAACTTATTTTCCAAACTTGTACAGTAAATGAAAGAGAACACCAAAATAAGTTATATCATTTTTGGAAATATTTACTTATTGATGACAAATTGGTTTTCACGTTAAAGCCTCTGTAAAATAATTATATTCCAAAGCTCTTTTCCAAAATAAGACTTTTCTTTAAAAAATTAACTTGTGTACATTGAAGCAACATTGAAAAATATATCAATTACCTGCACATTCAAAATAATAGGCAGAATAATTGCCCCTAGTACTTATGTCTTGTAATTAGTTTCCTAGCTAAATCTGTCACTGGCACCTTAATGAAGAATTTACTTTTTGAAGCTAGTTGTCATATTCTGAAGTTTTTGAACAAATCTGTTTGCAATTGCTTTTGAAGTAAAGTTTATGGTTAATAAATTTGAAATCATTGACACCTTTCTTGGTAGACCACAACATTTTTAATTGCCGATAACCCCTCGGGTATTGAGAGATTGGTAAATTCTACACAAATTCTACTAAATGGATACTGTTTTTGATTCAAAATTTCTTACATAAATATTTTACCCCAAGTATTAATACAGGTACTATCTTTTGGCTTGTATTCAGAGTACCATTCTCCAAAATACATTTTTACAGAATATAACTTGTCAAGTAGGGTATAGCTATTTAGAATGCTTCTGAATGCTCCCTATCGCCTATGTAATTTCATATCCTAATGAATAAGTAAAAAGTGGGGTTCAACCAAACCCAGGCCAGCTTATTTGAATGGAACTATTAATAGTAGTATCTAGTTAACAAATGAAATATCCAAGATGGATGTTAAACTAAATGGGACGCAGAATAGCAGGCACATAAACGGGGACTCTCCCATGTAACAGCTCTAACACTGACCCTCTGAGGCAGCTCGTAGTTCTCCATCCTGGCAGCACATCATCAGTATCATCAGAGAGCTCGTCAGACCTGCCGATGATCCATCCGGTTTTCGTCCCAAAGACTCAGCTTTCATAGGTTGGGATGGGACCTGGGAATGAGCATTTTACTCTAAAACGATTCTAACAAGCAGCTTGGGCTGACAGTGGCTATACCAGCCTGATGTCTCTAAAGCCAGGTCACTAGAAGGGTGGGAGGCTCAAGACGGAGGGGACTTATGCATACACATAGCAGATTCACGTCGTTGTGCAGCAGAAACCAACACAGCATGGTAAAGCAATGATACTTCAATAAAAAAAAAGAATAAGGGGAAAAAAAAGAGAAGAAGCCAGGTCAGTGTGGTGCTCCAGGGCCATTCCCTGCAGGAACACAGTGATTCCTGTAACAGAGAAGACGGAGGTAAGCCAGGAGCAGCCGTGCGGCGGCCTGTTGTCCTTGCACCCACGTGGATGCGCCATCACCTTGAGCCAGGAGAGCGCGCGGCAGGTGCTCTGGGGCATGAACAGAGGGTGGCCCTGCTGCAACCCTGTGGCCACGCCCCAGAACACACAGTGATTGCATGAAATCCTTTCAAACATGCAATTAAACAACTCCTATATTGTCGTGACAAAAATGAGACTTGTGGGGAGTTAACAGATTTCTGACTGGAGATGAAGATGTTAAAAATCTCATAAAAGCTCTAGGTAAGCCTGTTATAAGTGCTTTGTTCTATTCTCAATATTTATTTTAAAAACAATTCTCAAAATGTAAAATCCCCAGCATTCCCAAAGCAGGGTATCTTTTTGGCTCATCCTACAAATTAATGATCATCTTTCTAACTCCAAGTATGAAAAACCACCCTGGCAAAGAAAAATAACAAGACGTGGTTTGCAAGCCCTGCCTTCCTGGCTGTCCCATGTGTGCCCCGTAAAGTGTTGGGGGTCATCCCAGAGCCAGTCGGGAGAGTAGCTTTTGCTGGTGCTTGGCCTGCTCTGAACTCAGTTCCGAGGCTGTGAGTTGAACTCTGTACAGATGTTCTGAATGACCTTGGGGACGATTTTGTAGAGGTTGTCAAACTCGTCTACGAAGAAGGCGTGGTCCCTGGCAGGGTGAGTGGCGATGACGTCCAGCTCGTCCTGGGCAGCCCAGGCCACTCCTATGGCATAGGTGATCACGCCTGTGGGGACAAAGGGTGGATGAAGTGAATGTCCCCAGGAAAAGTGTGACATCCACCCTTGCCTTCCTGCCACCCTGCTGGCCATTGTGCTTAAACGCGCCCAAACCCAAAATCAGAAATGCGCCCAAAGCATGAACATGTGCTGTATGCCAGCAGCAGTGAAATTGATACAGTTGCTCTCTCTCAGGGGTTTACCATCCTTTGGAGAAAAAAATAACCAGAAGAATGGAGTCAATCCATGATAAGAATTTCATGAGGAGCAGCAAGAGAATGATATCTGGGACAAGCAAAACTTGGGTGCCCTGCAGATTAAACCCCATGGTACACACCTGCTCTGTGTGTAAAGTCACGCAAAACTGAGTCTTCACTGCCTCAAAAACCAGTTAGAGATCTTTTAAATGTAAGTGAAACGATGGGTAGTCAAATCCACCTGCCTTCACTAATCAAGATTGTTTCAAGACTTGCATGTCCTGCAAGTGGCCTGTAGCCTCACCAATAAGATGTTTGCCTGAGTTGTTCTCTAGAAACTTGGAGTCAGCTGAGCTGAGACTCAGCTGTGTCTAGTTCAGCTGCGCTGGTTAAGACTGGATAGGACCACTTATCCCCTCAACCTGGCATGCGTGAATGCCCACTTAGTGGCCTTTAGAACACGTGCAGAGGCCTATAGCTTAGTTATGCCTGCGCAGAACAATTCCATATGTTTTCCTCCCCACAACTCGGATGCCCCCCTCCTTTGCTATCCTGTAAAGCCCTGAGCCCCTTGCCTTTGGGGAGGTAGATTCGTGACTGGTTCTCCTGCCTGCCTTGCAGATAAGCCCTCTCTTTGCGCAAACCTTGGCCAAAAAACACACAAAAACAAAAAACAAAACCAGTGAAGCTGAATCACTTTAGGCTTGAGGGTGATTTTACAAGCCATAGGCTCCAACCGCGAGGATTTCCGGAGCAGGAAAACTTGCACAAGGACCTGGAGAGCTGGCGAGCCAGCATCTGCTCCATCACCACAGAAAAGTTAAGTGTTTACAGATAAGGAAGGAGCTAACAGCACTGACTGCTCCAGGGGGATCATTGGAGATGATAGGAAAAAGGGATTCATTGAATTCAGAAGAAACATGAACAAGATGCTGGTAGCTTGGAAGGGGAAGTGTCGGGGGAGTCAAAGCCAAAGAAAGAAACCAAGTGAATTGCTGCGAGTTGAGATTGAAAGAGAAAATGAAGATATGGGGCAGTAGGCATGTGGCTGTAAAGAGAGCCAGAACATGGGATCAAAGGGAATTATTTCCTTCTTTAGGAAGGGAGACCTGGGTTCCAACCCTGGGTCGGGAAGATCCCCTGGAGAAGAAAATGGCACCCCACTCCAGCACTTTTGCCTGGAAAATTCCATGGACGGAGGAGCCTGGTAGCCTAGAGTCCATGGGGGTCGCAAAGAGTCAGACACGACTGAGCGACTTCATCTTAGAAAGGGAGGGACTGGAGCTTGTCTAGATAGAAAGGGGAATGAATATAGTAGGATTAAAGGGTTTGGGCTGTAACCATGGACTGAGATGCCTCAAGGAGAAGAGGAATTCAGAGAGCAGGCATCTGTCCTTAGTGGGGAGGCAGACTGCCCGGAGTGTGGTTCTTGACTGGGGCAGCTGGTGGGCAGGTGCTGACCTATTCCCATGCCCCCTCCAGGCTGACCAGGGTGAGATAAGCAAGATGGCCATGAGATGGCGGGCAGAGCCTGGGGAGGGGCTTCTGCCCAGGCTCCATTCCCCCACCTCCCCACCACCCACAGGGCCATGGCTTTCTCTAGCATCTTCCAGGTTCCCTTTCCTGCTGATGGGAGCGCCGTCCACACCACAGGTGGCTCTGGGCTAAGCTGTTCTCCTATTGTGGCTCATTAAGCTGCCAGGTCCTTTTCTCACCTTTCCAGTGTCTTTTCTCTGAACATTATCTACATTGAGCAAAGTCAGGGTTTGGCTTTAAAAATGCTGCCAAGTGGTCACAGGAAGAGTCTAGCTACAGAACAGGGCTTAGACCCACCAAGATCTCGTTTCTATTCAAAGATGGAAGGGCTGCCCTCTCCCACCCCCGCCCCAAGTAAAGACAACAAGATCAATATTAGAGATTTAGCTTTTCACATCCTGCAGTCCAACCTTACTGTAGAGAACTTTCTACTGGAAATTCTGATAGATAGTTCCCCAGCCTTGGCTTGGACACCCGCAGGGACACCCCAGTGCTCATGGCTTCCATGTCACTTGCATCTGTTGGTCCTTGTTGTTTAAAGATACCCAGAACACGATAGCCCTCACAATGCCTGGGACATCTTCCTAGGTCTTCACTTTCTCCTGACCAGTGGGTCAAGGATACCCTCTGGGTGAGGCTCAAGGAGAGGCATCAAGAAAAATGAGTGAGAGGAGCTGAACACAAGCTGGGGACGGACGATCTTGGGCTTGTCATCAAGAGTTGCCCCACCTGGCTCTGCCCACTCACTTTGGAACTTTGGGCAGTTTGCTTCTGAACCATAAGACATCTTCACTCTGCTGACAGGGGCCCAAGGGGCCTTGTGACTGCTGAGCCTCAGGGAGAAGAGGAATTCAGAGAGCAGGCATCTGTCCTTAGTGGGGAGGCAGACTGCCCGGAGTGTGGTTCTTGACTGGGGCAGCTGGTGGGCAGGTGCTGACCTATTCCCATGCCCCCTCCAGGCTGACCAGGGTGAGATAAGCAAGATGGCCATGAGATGGCGGGCAGAGCCTGGGGAGGGGCTTCTGCCCAGGCTCCATTCCCCCACCTCCCCACCACCCACAGGGCCATGGCTTTCTCTAGCATCTTCCAGGTTCCCTTTCCTGCTGATGGGAGCGCCGTCCACACCACAGGTGGCTCTGGGCTAAGCTGTTCTCCTATTGTGGCTCATTAAGCTGCCAGGTCCTTTTCTCACCTTTCCAGTGTCTTTTCTCTGAACATTATCTACATTGAGCAAAGTCAGGGTTGGGCTTTAAAAATGCTGCCAAGTGGTCACAGGAAGAGTCTAGCTACAGAACAGGGCTTAGACCCACCAAGATCTCGTTTCTATTCAAAGATGGAAGGGCTGCCCTCTCCCACCCCCGCCCCAAGTAAAGACAACAAGATCAATATTAGAGATTTAGCTTTTCACATCCTGCAGTCCAACCTTACTGTAGAGAACTTTCTACTGGAAATTCTGATAGATAGTTCCCCAGCCTTGGCTTGGACACCCGCAGGGACACCCCAGTGCTCATGGCTTCCATGTCACTTGCATCTGTTGGTCCTTGTTGTTTAAAGATACCCAGAACACGATAGCCCTCACAATGCCTGGGACATCTTCCTAGGTCTTCACTTTCTCCTGACCAGTGGGTCAAGGATACCCTCTGGGTGAGGCTCAAGGAGAGGCATCAAGAAAAATGAGTGAGAGGAGCTGAACACAAGCTGGGGACGGACGATCTTGGGCTTGTCATCAAGAGTTGCCCCACCTGGCTCTGCCCACTCACTTTGGAACTTTGGGCAGTTTGCTTCTGAACCATAAGACATCTTCACTCTGCTGACAGGGGCCCAAGGGGCCTTGTGACTGCTGACACATGGGCCACCTGCCATCCCACCATTATGCGTGCTCCCTATGGGTAAATCACTGGGAAGACTGTCTGAACCTGTTGTCTGGGTACATTTCCAGAAGCCACAAATACTGGTTCCTGAAGGCTAATTTTTATATCCCTCCTTGTTTAAGGAAGGATTAAAAGCAGCTTTAAAAAATATGGGCAATCCTGCAAACATACCCAAATTAAATGGAGGCAGAGACTTAGTGCACGCACACATATGTGCATACATGTGCACACGTACAAAAAAAACTTCTCCCACAATAGGTAAGTCTTGTTCAGTAGTACTTACTATAGATTTTTGGTTCACTGATGACTCTGTTTACTTTTATTGTCATTACTAGTATTGCTGTCACTAGGGGTTTTTTTCCAGGTTATTTGTATTTTCCTTGTATTTTATGGCACTTTTCAAAACAAGGATTGTATATAGATTTTGTCCAAAAGGCATTACATATAACTGATTTTTTGAACATTTACAAAAAAACGTTTTGCTCATTTTTCATGGTTTTAAACTTTCTGTTATCCTCTTCCAAATTTCATATGGAAATATCTCTTTAAATATTTTGAATGAAAATTTCTTTGAGGTCTTCCCCCAGACCTCCAATATCTGGTTAGCAATTGCTTATATGATAGTATTATACGTCTCTTTTAAAGCGTCCATTTTCTTCAAGTTTCTAACACAATTTTGTGGTCTTCAGTGGAGATTAGAGTGAGGAGTCAAATTCCTCTTTGATGCATCACCTGTTGGTGTGTGCAGCCTCAGAGTGTGGGACGTAAAGAAGAGGGGTAACATCCACAGGCCTTGATGCTGTCCTTGCCTGACCCTTCTTCACTACCCAGAGGGCCCTGTGGTGTTGAACTACACCCTAATGCCCTAGGGTTGTGAACATTTTAGTAGGTACTAGACAAAACCAGTGCCCAGAGAGACAACCCACCAAGCCCCAGAGGTCTGCTCAGCCCCAGACTGGTCAGCACGAGCAGCTCACTCACCCTTGTGATGGGCGAGCATGGCTGGTATCCGGATGTCGTCATAGGACCTCCCGTCGGTGATGAGTACCATTAGCTTCCTCTTGTTGGGCTTGGACTTCTTGAAGAGCAGCTCCAGGGCATAGTTGATGGCAGCCCCCGTGCTGGTCCCGCCACTCCAGTACCCCACCCTCTTGATGGCGTTGAGGACATCAGATTTGGTGCTGTACTCATCAAACCCAAACTCCAGCCGCTGCTCGTAGGTGTACTGCACGGCCCCGATCCGCGTGTCCGTGTCTGAGATCTCAAACTCCCTGCTGAGGTTGGCCACAAACTGGAGGACCGTGCGGAAGTTGCTGGTCCCCACGCTGCTGGAGCCATCGATGACGAAGCCGATGTCGGCCGAGTTGAAGCAGGTCTTGCTGCAGGCCAGTCGGTCAGTGTCACAGACCCGCTTCACCAGGGGCTGCACGGTCTTGTGGAGGCTGAACCAGTTCTGCACGGTGAGTGAGTAGAAGCCGTTGGTTCTGCACACAGCCTGGAAGACAGGGGCAGCCACCCGCCAGGTCAGGAGTCTCACCCAAGGCCTCTGTCCACCTCGGTTCACCCAGTCGGGTGCTCACTGGGCGGAGGCCCCTCAGGTTATCTCTGGACCCGCTCCCCCACCCTCGGCCAGGTCTGTGCTTTCATGGAGAACCATCAGTCAAGCAAGTCCTCAGGGAGAGGGGACTTGCTGGTTTCAGCTTCATATTTATGCCTCTCCAGGCCCCTGGTTTGTACTGGCAGCCAGCCATAAGGCTGGCATTGGTGGGCACTAGCCCACGAGGATTAAAGAAAGCTTTTGTTCTGATTGGGAAAACAAAAGGCACACAGGAGATGAAGCTTAAGAAGAGAGCAGACCTGCATCCAGCAAGAAGGGGGTTCCACACCTGTGTCTGGTACCCAACTAGGTGTTCTTAACATCATTTCACTACCCACCCCCTGCCCACCTTAACCCTACAGGGTGGAATTCTAACCCACTTGTCATGAAGGAACAAACTGAGGGCCAGTTGTGAAGTGACATCCTTGAGGTCACAACTCAAATCTCTCTGCCCTCAGAACCCCAGCTCTGTCCCCTGGACAGCCCTGCCTCCAGGCAAATGAATGTTTACTTGTGCCCAAGCATGTTCCAGAAAAAACTCAAGGTGCCTGCAAATAAACATTGAGCAAGCTGATTGGTGTGCTCCTGGAAGTGACCATTTCCTTTGCCACTGCCTCTCCGGAGGTCACAGAGAGAATCACAGACCTGCTGGCTTTGGATGAAGGTGTATAATTAAAACATTATTTGAAAACAAGAAATGACTTTAAAATGTCCTGGGAAATGTACTTTAATTGGTTTGTAAAAACCTAATGGGGTTCACAAAACTTTCCATTGCTTAGGCGGCATATGAGATGGGTGTCGAGGCTGAGCTGAATTCTAGCCAATGGATGGGGGGGGCGGGGATCCCCACCAGGCAGTCTGAGTCAGTCACAACAGGAGAGAGCGATGGTGCTTGGCATGGGCAGGACATCGGGTGGCTGGGGCTAGGAAGCTGGGTTAAGACCACCCTCCAGAAGACCTCAGGAGTAACAGCAAGTGGAGAAGGATTTGGAGCAAGGACCCTGTGGGACTGGGAGAAAGCACGAGATTTACTGTGAAATCTAAAACAAACTGGGGAGATCCAGAAGGGAGAAAGGACAGATGTAAAGTATCAATACTCGCTTGAACTGGGGAGGTGGCACTGGGCGTGGGAAAGACTGGGCAGCTGTGAGCTACGTGACATGGGAGCTGACAAGTTGTTCTGGGGTGACTCCGGGTGTCTGGGACAGCTGTGGGGCTAACGCACAGTCCAGAGGAAGAAGGAATTTGAGTGGGAAAGATGATGCACTTGGCATGTTGCATGTAGGATTTAAGGTTCTTCAGGTCATCGGGTGGAGACTAGTCAATCAGCTGGAAACAGATGGCTACTGAGCTCCAGAGAAAGCAGGGCGGGAGACACACACGTGTGTCCCTGCTTGTGAGTGAAGGCTGAAGCTGTGGCCCTGGGAGAGGTTCTGGAGGGAGGAAAAACTAGTAAGAACATAGGAGAGAGCCAAGGAAGTCTACGCTTTGGGTACAAGACGGAAAAGAGGAGGGAGCAAGTGAAGTATGAGCCACACTGTGTCCTAGAGGTTAAGGGAGACAAGAATGATGATGAAGTGCAGGGTCTGTGCCGGGAGCTGAGCCCCAGGAGATCTGGAGACAGGATGCTAACACTGGGGGTATCCCCCATCCTGTCCTCCGCCTTTCCTTTTTAAACCTGGGGTCCTGTCTTTGGAGAAAGGCTTACGTGGGGTCTACTGTATAAAGCATACGCAAAGTGAGCTGCACTGGGGGAACAGGCCTAGATTCCCATCTGTTCTGCCTCCATGTCCTGTTGGGCATCTCCACAGAACTCAGGGGCAGCTGAGTTTGAAAGCCTGCACTCCCTAGTGTGGTTTAGTACTTTTCCTTTTCTTGTTTCTCAGATTAGTTGACTTGTGGTACATGTGTTCCCATGTGCATGCTCGCTTGAGGACTGGCTGGGCTGCCCAGCTGCGGTCCCCTGGGGCTATGAGAGGCGCTCAGGGAAGCCTCTGATGTGAGGCTTCGGGGACCCTGCTCCTCCCAAGGTGCCGATGCCAGGCCTCAGTTCACCAGGTGTGTGGTGGGTTGTGGGGCATTGCTTTGAGAGGGTAACTCCAAGTTCCAGACTCACTAGTCTCTCACTGGAGGCCCTCCTGCCTGGAAATGAACTTAACATCCATTTGAAAAACACAAGAGACCCAGCCTGGATGGCTGCTACAGCTGTGCAAAGTGTAGGGCGTTCTTACGTTGGGTGGGTTTTCCACTTACATGCCTTGCATAGAAGGCGTACCTTGTTTGCAAAGTTGGGCTCCAGCATGTACTGCTTCTCATTTTCAGAGGCACCTTCAATGGTGATGAAGAAAATGTTGATTCCTGACTCTCTCGCCAACCTCGAGGCCTCCTCCACCTTGTCCGTGGGCCAGCCATCCACCATCACCACGGCCACGTTGGGAGCACCGCCTCTGTTTCCGTTAACTTTGGAAAAGAAGTTCTTGGTCACAAAGGAGATGGCCCGGCCTGGAAGAAAAAGAAAACTCATGCTTGGAGTGATTATGGAACAGATCAGAGCAGCACAAAGAGGTGCAGAAAAATATCCATTCCCTCTCTTGCTGGCTTGTTTCCTTTTTGAATCATGTTAACTAGTTTTGGGTGTACAGTTCAGTGGTTTTAAGTACATTCACGATATTATGGAACCTATACCACTAGCCATTTCCCTCCCCAGCTTCATTTTGAGCTTCAACTTCTAATTTTCTCTTGTTTTGAAAAGGTTTTATACTATTTGAAGCCACATGGATGGACTTAGAAATTATCATACTAAGTGAAGTAAGTCTGACAGAGACAGACAAATAGTCTATGATAACACTTACATGGAATCTGAAAATTAATATAAATGACTCTCTATACAAAATAGAAACAGACTCACATAGAAAACAAACACAAGGTTACCAAGGAAGAAAGGAGGAGGGGAATAAATTAGGAATATTGGATTAACAGATGCAAATTACTATATATAAAACAGATAACACCAAAGATTTACTGTAAAACACAGGGAACAATATTCAATATCTTGTAATAACCTGTAATGGAAAATAATCTGAAAAAAAATGAATCACTTTGCTATACACCTGAACCTAACATAATACTGTAAATAAACAATACTTCAATTTTAAAAATTAAAAAAGTTTTCGAGACCAGCATGCAGGTGAGAAAAGCTTTTCATGGGCACAATAGTGTCTGTTCTTTGCCTGGGTGCTGGAGCTGACCTCACTAAGCCCTGGAGCTATTTCCAAAAGTGTGGGGCAGCCCTCTCCTTGGGCTTTGAGGGCTTGCAGTGAGCTCGACGCTCCAGGTGTGGAAGGGTGTATTCTGGATTCAGTGGACTCTCTTGTCATTTCCACTAGAGACACAGGTCTGGCTGGCCTGGAGGGCACCACACCAAGAACTGAGAGATGTGTTCTAATCTGGCTGTGCTTTTTACTGGCCACGTGGGCCTGGATAGGTCACTCCAGACTAGGTTTCCATGATGACAGCCTGCCTCAACTGAGCGCAGCAGTTGTGAGGGATGACACAGCTTCCCAGCATGCCTTTCTCAAGCATATACTTAACACTTGTCCTGGGCTTCAGGAGATTTTTGGAATCAAGGAGGGTGAGAAACTATACCAGTTTTCTGGGACTTTCCCAGGTTTAGCCCTGAAAGTCCCATATGCCTCTGGGTAAACTGGGATGACTGATCACCCCAGAGGCAGGGCTCTTAACCTGGCCTCTGTGGACCTCTGGGTACTGGGGGTGAGATCCACAAATCCCTTGAATTTATACACAGTATTTTGTGTATATAAGTATTAATTTGGGCACAAAGGCCATAGCTTTCAAAGGGATCCTCAGTCTAAATAAAAGTTAAGAGCTACATTCTTAAGACATTAGGGTTATAACATTACACTCAAGGCTTCTTTGGTTTTGGCCAACATCTTGGCATCACTGACTAGTACAATCTTATCTGTCAAGTGAAAGGATCAAATGGTTACATACTCAGTTGCTGGAGAAGTGTCTTGGAGAACCCATGTGAGCTGGCAGCGTGGAAACCTCAGGGAACTGTTTTCACAGCCAAAGCCGATTTCCCTCAAGGCCCAAGGCACCCAGCAATCCCCTCTGGTTTACTGTTAGCTGCCTGTAGGCAGAGTGCAGGGAGCCCTCAGAAGATCACCTTGACCTCACCCAGTCTTAAATCTGGAGGCCATGGTCAATTTGCACTCAATACATGTTCCATTAGCCTTCTAGCATGTCTTGAAAGCAGAGGCTAGAAATCTGAAAATTGCATTGTTGAGATTTCCTTGCAGCTGGAGTTCTGGATGTGTTTTAGTTTCATGAGATGATACACACATGAAGTTTAGAAGATAAACATAGGGTAGAGGTGGTACTTTTGATTCTGCTATTTCTGTAGCCAAGTCTGTAGAATGTTTGACTTTTCCAGGGTAGTGTTAGCAGAGGTGCCCATTATTGGTGACCAGCTTCCCTGGTGTTGAGAAGGTAGGTTGCAAAGCATGTATTTTGTGGCTGTGAATGGAGCAGGCAAGGCATGTTTTTGGAGCTGGCAGTTGTAGCAGAAGTTTCCCGATCAGCATGGCTTCCTGGCTGAAGCAGATTCCTAAAGAGGCTGGAGTGGTAGAATCAAGAAAGCAATTTTCTGGTCTTGGAAGAGGCATGGCTCCTCGGAGGTCCTGGATCTGCAGGAAGCCTTTGGAAGCCATCTTTGAAAACTCAGCCTAGAGTACATTTCTTCAGTAAATCTCAAAACCACTTCATACCCTGAAATAAATCCCCTTTGACTTAAATCAGCTGGAATGGGTTCTGTTCTCTAAACTCAAACCCCCATCAATACAGGGCAGATATAGAACATGTTACCTACTGAAAAAACATATACTGATTTTATTAAAACACCTCTCTAATCCCATCAAGGACACAGGATGTCTTCTGAAGTTTTAGAAAGTTTTACTCATGATACCTTACTGGAATTTCACTGATCTAAGTATCAAATTGAAAACAAATCAGACATCAACTCTATCATGTTTGTGATGAGGCAATATCCAATTTGGTGTCTCGGATCCAAGTGACTTGGATGGTGTTTACTTAGAATTGTTCAGAGATCAAGGGCTCTTCATTCGCTAGATATTAATGTACTAGTCTAAATAGATATACATTGAAGTGGGGAAGGAAGTAATAAATCAGATGTACTGTAATTTTGAAGATGCTCCTTCAAAGATAGCTGTATTCCCTGTGCACATTCCATGCAAATAACATGGCTCACATCTCTGTTTCCCTGGATTGTGATGGTCCAGACAGGGTCCCTGAGGAGTGGGCAGTCCTTCCAGTGCCCCGAAGTCAGACCTTAGCCCACCAGGCTCCTCTGTCCATGGAATTCTCCAGGCAAGAAT